CAGAGGTGGTATTTGCCGGTTCTCCGAACTGCTCAAAATTTCCGCTACCAGTTCTCCAGAACCTGCTGGATTTCACCCCTGATGCCACCCAATTATTATTTATTATTAGAATATTATTAGACCTAGGTCTAATAATTTTCAACCTCACCCTTTCTTTTAACCAAACTAAACAAGGGGCTGCAAAATACAATTTCAGCTTTGGCAATGCTAAACTCTCTTTAGCATCACACAGGATCTTTCATTTAATTGCCTTTTCTCATTCTTCTCCCTTTTCCATAAAGGAAGTGGCTTCATTTCAACTTGTCTTAGATTGACTGGGAACAATGAATTATTATTTTTGTGGTAATTATCTACTTTTGTTGATTACCTTTGCAGCGTTTAATTTTCTCCGCAGAGTCTCCAGCCTTCTTGTGTAAGGCACGATGACTCACCCTTTCCCTTTGGGCCGGTTTTTTTTAAAAAAATAAAACCTAGAATCCGATGGATATATTCAAGTTTAAGGATTGAATGGAAAGGGTTCAATAGGCAGTGGGATGGTGTGCGGTGTGCTGCAAAGGAATCGACTATTTTCGCCAGAAATAAAAACGGATATCTAAGAATTTGTGATGGATGTGAGGGATGGCAGAGAAACATAAAAGCAAGTTGAATGCAGTTGGATTGGAATGTGTGAGGAAGGAAGGAAGGAAGGAAGGAAGGAAGGAAGGAAGGAAGGAAGGAAGGAAGGAAGGAAGGAAGGAAGGAAAAAGAAAGAAAGAAAGAAAGAAAGAAAGAAAGAAAGAAAGAAAGAAAGAAAGAAAGAGAGGGAGGGAGGGAGGGAGGGAGGAGGGAAGGGAATGGAAGGAAAGAAAAGGAAGGAAAAAAGAAAGGAAAGGAAAAGGGGAAGGAGGGAGGGAAGAAGGAAGAAGAAAGAAAGAGAGAGGGAGGGAGGGAGGAGGGAAGGGAAGGGAAGGGAAGGGAAGGAAAGGAAAGGAAAGGAAAGGAAAGGAAAGGAAAGGAAAGGAAAGGAAAGGAAAGGGGGCGGGAGAAAAAAGGAAGGAAGGAAAAAAGGAAGAAAAGGAAAGGAAAGGTCGGAGAGGGAGGAGAAGGAAGGAGGGAGGGAGGGAAGAAGGAAGAAGAAAGAAAGAAAGACAGAAAGAAAGAAAGACAGAAAGAAAGAAAGAAAAAGAAAGAAGAAAAAAGGGAGGAGGGAAGGGAATGGAATGGAAGGAAAGGAAAGGGGAGGGAGGGAGGGAGGAGGAAGGAAGGTGGGAGGGAGGGAAGAAGAAAGAAAGAAAGAGGGAGGGAGGGAGGGAGGAAGAAGGTGGAAAGGAGGGAAGAAGAAAGAAAGAAAGAAAAAGAAAAGAAAGAAAGAAAGAAAGAAAGAAAGAAAGGGAGGAGGGAAGGGAATGGAAGGAAAGAAAAGGGAGAGGGAGGGAGGAAAAAAGGAAGGAAGGAAAAAGGAAGTAAAAGAAAGGAAAGGGGGAGGGAGGGACGGAGGAAGGAAAGAACGAGAGAAGTGATGATGAATGAATTATGTATTAGATTCAAAGTAAGAGGCAATACAGAACAGTGAAGGCTAACCTTTTTGGCACCGAGTGCACACCCATAATGTAATGCGTGCGCGACTCCCCCCTCTGTGCGCCCCGTCTCTGCGCATGTACATGCGACCTCCCACATGCTCCACCCCCCGCATGTGCACATGACCCCGTGCATGTGCCCCGCCCCCATGCATGTATGCGCATCCCCTACATATGCATGCACGGTGGGGACCAGAAAACCAGCTCGCCGGTGGGAGGCACATTGTGCATTGTGCCTTTTCATTTCTCCCCTTAAACCTTTAATTTCTTTGGCTTACCTCTTATTTGCTGTAGGAATAGCAGCGGGGTGAAATCCAGCAGGTTCTGGAGAACTGGTAGCGGAAATTTTGAGTAGTTCGGAGAACCGGTAGCGGAAATTTTGAGTAGTTCAGAGAACCGGTAGCAGAAATTTTGAGCAGTTCGGAGAACCGATAGCGGAAATTTTGAGCAGTTCAGAGAACCGGTAGCAGAAATTTTGAGTAGTTCGGAGAATCGATAGTGGAAATTTTGAGCAGTTCGGAGAACTGGCAAATATCACCTCTGGCTGGCCCCAGAGTGGGTCGAGAATGGAGATTTTGCAATATCCTTACCCCCCTGGAATGGTGAGAGAATGGAGATTTTGCAGTATCCTTCCCCTGGAGTGGGGTGGGAATGGAGATTTTGCAGTGTCCTTCCCCTGCCACACCCACCAAGCCACACCCACAGAACCGGTAGTAAAAGAAAATGGATTTCACCACTGAATAGCAGCACTGCTCACCCCAGAAAGGAAGAAAAGGATGGGTATGTTTTCCTACAGAGAAGGGCACATGCTGGTTTGGTTTGAGAGTAAAGCCAAAAAACTGGTTCTGCTCGAATTTTAGAGCAAGTTATCAAAACAATATACGTGCTGCAATCAAATAAACACGCTTTGGAGTAGATTTTTTTTTAAAGATATGTTACGGAAAATTGTGTATCGAAATGAACACAATAGGAAAGATACCATAACGGGGCATCTGTTAAGCAAATCTGTAAGTATGGGAACATTCTCAGTTTTGTAGAAATATTTGCACAGGTTTTTGGTTTTTTTTTTGTAATAAATTTAAACATTCTGGAAACAGTTTTGGAATGAATTTTTACTTTAAACAAGCGTGAATGTTATATAGAAAGTAAAACATATTTCTAAGACAGATAATCCTTGAATTTTTAGCCATTTGATTTAGGGACCGTTCAGAGTTACCACAGCACAGACTCCCGTCCGGTACTTGTGCTTAACAACTGTTGTAGCGTCTTCACAATCGTGTGATCAAAATTCGGGCGCTGGCAACCAGCAAGTGATGACGATGGTTGCAGGATCCCAAAATCACGTGATCTCCGCTTGTGATCTTCCCAGCTTCCCAGACAAGCAAAGTCGACGGGGGAAACTAGATTCAATGAATGCCCACACAATTCACTTAACCATTGCAGTAATTTGCTTAACAACCATGGCATTAAAAAAAACCCACATAAAATTGATTGCACAGGGAGAGTTTAATGTAAGAAAGCCCCCATATTAGTAAAGAAACCCCCCCTCCCGGAAGAGAAAAGGCAGGGGTGAAATGCTCTGGTTTGGACCAGATCGCCTGGTTCGGACTGGATCGCCGATCCAGTAGCGATGGCGGCGGGTGGTTCAGAGAACCGGTAGCAAAAATCCCTGCCTGCCCCCACCCATGCCCAGCTGAGCTGCGCAATTATCAGAGGCTTTTTTTTTTTTAACTTTTAAAAGCATTTTTTTCTACAACCTCTTCGGCCGAAAAAATGCTTTTAAAATTTTAAAAAAAGCCTCTGATGATCGCGCGGCTCAGCTGGGATCGTCAGAGGCTTTTAAAAGCATTTTTTTCTACAACCTCTTCGGCTGAAAAAAATGCTTTTAGAAGTTAAAAAAAAAGCCTCTGATGATCGTGCGGCTCAGCTGGGATCGTCAGAGGCTTTTAAAAGCATTTTTTTCTACAGCCTAGAGGTTGTAGGAAAAAAAGCTTTTAAAAGTAAAAAAAAAGCCTCTGATGATGGCGCAGCTCAGCTGGGATTGTCAGAGGCTTTTAAAAGCATTTTTTCGACAGCCTCTTCGGCCGAAAAAATGCTTTTAAAAGTAAAAAAAAACCTTGCACCCACAATAGGAGTCAGGTAACAACAGTTAGAATATTAAAAAGGGCACATTCAAGGACAGGCTAAAGTACATTTTACAACGCACCTGAGTATCTAAATCACAAAGTCCTAGAACCACATAAATACCCATCCACTCACCAGACTGTTTTGTCAGCTGTCCCAGAACCGATTGCTGTGTTACTTCGCTTCGGATTCCTAAATAAACAGAGACCTCCTTTCCAAAATGCAGCCTGCCTCCAATTTATTTCTCCAGTGTCCCAGCTTGGACACAGACCAGATTTTACTTACAACAGGCATAACTCACCTTGCTTAGTAACAGAAATTCTGGTCCCTGTTGCAGTCATAAGTCAAAGATGACCTGTAGATGATTGAAGATATTAACTTCAAGAAATGTTCAAAGTCATAAAATCACACGAAACCTTCAATTTTTAGGGCCTGTACCTCATGAATGTTACCTCTTCCTATAGTTAGACATAGTATGGTATAACAGAATGAAATATAAAATTATTCTGTCCACATAGACAGATTGTACAATATCTCTTGACTATAATTTCTGTGTATAGCATAATATTTATTTATTAGGGATGTTTCTGTGCTTCTTCAGCTAAGTGCCCTTATAATTGTCAGATCGGTTTTCAAAATAGTTGAGTACCAGAATGTATTCAAGCCAGCGCTTGGAATAAATTTTCAGACCAGGGTTGATTTGGAATCTATGAGCCCAATTATCAACGCACTTTCCAGCCTGTTTAATTATGTGGAGCTCCAAAAGCATCTGTCTAAATTATTTGGATTGGTAATCCATGCTTTAGAGAGAAGTAGGTGCTTGAACAAGTCACTTCTTCAAGTTGACCTCGGAAATACCTCCAGGCTGTGGCCGTCTCAAAAATGCAAAAGTAGCTTTCTGTTGGCTTATATACCATGTTTTTGACTTCTCAGTCTGTTTTAGAGCCCTGAGATTTCTCAAGTGCTAATTCAGTCTCAAAGCCTGCTTAACCTTTGAACCTAACCATGGTTAATCGGATGCTGCCCCCTGCTGTTTAATCTTCAAGAAGAGCCTCTTAACCTTGCAAAAAAGAGGTTAATGGGTTTTTGTATACTATAGATAAATGGACGTATCTTGACTCTCGTTCTTGGTCAGCATTGACTCCTAGTGGACAAATCCTTGCCGTTTTCTTGGCCAGATTTCAGAAGTGGCATTGCCATTGTCTGCTTCCGAGAGCAGAGAGAGAATGACTGGCCCAAGGTCACCCATCTGGCTCAATTATACAAATGTACCGTCCCTGGGTGCTTAGTTTTGACCTTGTTCTACTCTCTTTTACATAGGATCAAGCATGAAAATATTGTGGCCCTGGAAGACATTTACGAGAGTTCAACTCATCTGTATCTGGTTATGCAATTGTGAGTATCAGTTTTAATTAATCTTTTTTTTTTTAAATCAAATTGGCAATGTGTACATAATGCATGTCTATGCTGAGATCCTATAAAGCTCTGGAAATCATCCTTGCTCCAAGATAATGCTTTTTGTGGAATTCATTTTGGGGATCTTCACTGTAAAACTCAATATTTTGATATGGTCAGGATAGGACAGAATAAAGAGTAGAGTAGAGTAGAGTAGAGTAGAGTAGAGTAGAGTAGAGTAGAGTAGAGTAGAGTAGAGTAGAGTAGAGTACAGTACAGTACAGTACAGTACAGTACAGTACTGTAGAAGAGAAGAAAACAGAACAGAACAAACAGAACAGAACAGAACAACAAAATAGAATATGGGACGGGACAGGACGGAACAGAACAGAACAGAACAGAACCACTGGCTAGGTTAGCAAAAATGTTTAACAACATGTCCGCCAAATGTTGGAAATGTATTCAGACTCCAGATATTTATTATCATATGTGGTGGACATATGTGAAGGCAAGAAAATATTGGACAAAAATACATACATGGTTGGAGAAGATGATTAAGCAACACACAGATTTTAAACCAGAAATATTTTTGTTAGGTATAATACCAGAGAATTATGACAAAGGGACTATCTACTTAACATTACATGTATTTTTTTTTTTTTTTTTTTTTTTTTTATTGCAAAAGTTTTACAATTACATTTTCACCCCTTTTTTTTTTTTCACCCCCCCACCTCCCTCCCCAAACTTCCCGTCCTCCCTAACCCTCCCTAACCCTCCCCCCCCCAGACTTCCCTATTATGTACTCATAACTAATAACACTGATATGTATACCTGAACCCATCCCTCCCCCTACATAATTTTCCCTCTTTGTCTCTTTATATTAAAATATTTCTAATACATTGTTTTCAAATAAAAGCTATTTGATACTTTCTAATTTGATATTTGTTCTGAACATATTCTATCCACCTTTTCCATTCCCATTCATAAGTCTCTTGTGAACAATCTTTTAAATATGCTGAAATCTTCGCCATCTCTGCAAAACTGGCCATCTTCGAAGTCCATTCCTCGATAGTAGGCAAAGCTTCATTCTTCCAATATTTACCTATCAACAATCTTGCTGCTGTTATCATATACAATATTAATTTTGTTTCATCCCGTGTAAAACCCTTAACTATGCCCAATAAAAACAATTGTGGAGAAAATTGAATTTTTTTCTTCAAAACATTCTGCATGACCCACCATATTTTTATCCAAAAAGCCTTAACTTTCCTACAGGTCCACCAAACATGATAATACGTAGCATCCAAACATTCACATCTCCAACATTTTGGCTGAACATTAGGGTACATACATGACAACTTTTTAGGATCTAGATGCCATCTATAAAACATTTTATAGAAATTTTCCCTCAAATTCTGCGACTGTGTAAATTTAACATTCTGAACCCAAATTTTTTCCCATGTTTCCAACATCACTGGTTCTTCAAAATTTTGTGCCCACTTAATCATACAATCTTTAACTAATTCCGTTTCTGAATCCCTTTCTAGCAAAACATTATAAAGCCTTTTAATATGCATTGGACCTTTCTCTCTTATATGTCTAACCAATTCTTCCTCATGCAACATAATACCAGTTTTTTGGTCCTCTTTCCATCTCAATTGTAATTGATTATATTGTAACCAGGTTAAATTAATCCCTTCGTCCAACAGTGTCTGCAATGTCTTCAACTGCCATCTGCCCGCATCTGTAAAAAGAACCTCTTTGTATAAAAACCCCCCGAGTGACATTATATTTGTATTCCACAAGGTATGACCAAGATCCAGCCATAGCGGTATTTTATAATCCCATTTGAGTCGGTGCTTCTTCCAAACTCTCATCAAAGAATCTCTAAGTATATGACTTTTAAATACTTTATCAACTTTGTCATCATAAAATAGGTAAGCATGCCATCCAAATTCAAGATCAAAACTTTCTGCATTCAATATTCCAGCCTTTTTACTTCCAAACCAATCACTTGTTAAAGTTAAAGCTGCTGCATCATAATATAACTGTAGGTTTGGAAGTTTAAGGCCTCCTCTTTCTGGAACATCTTGCATAATTTTCAATTTCACTCTCGGCTTTTTCTCGTTCCAGACAAACTTATTAAGTCCAGTTTGCCAAACTTTCAGTTGTTTATCACTTTTAAGCACCGGAATCATTTGAAACAAAAACAGAAATCTTGGCAAAATGTTCATCTTAACTGCTGCTATTCTTCCAAGTAAAGACAGTTGCAGCTTTTTCCAAGTCTCCATGTCTTTCTGAGCCTCTCGCCACAACACCTCATAGTTATTTTGAAACAATTTCATGTTTGATTCTGCAACCTGAACTCCAAGATATTTTACCTTAGGTACAATTTCAAAACCTGCCCTCCTTTCAAACTCATATTTACGATCTTGTGTCATATTTTTGACTATCATTTTAGTCTTTTTTGAGTTCACTCTGAAACCTGAAACTCTACCATAGTCTTGTATAATGTCGTTCATCAAGATTATTGATTCCATTGGTTGTGATAGGGTAACCACCAGATCATCTGCAAATGCCTTTACTCTATAATCCTCTTGCCTTATCATTATGCCTTTCAAAATTTTTGAGTCCCGTATTGTATTTAGCAAGACTTCCAATGTTAAAATAAATAAAAGTGGGGACAACGGACATCCCTGTCTTGTTCCTTTTTCAATTTTAAACTCTGTCGTCAAACTTCCATTAATAATAATCTGTGCTTTTTGCTCTTGATAAATTGCTGAGATTGCCTGTGTAAACTGGTCCCCAAAGCCCATCTTTTTTAAAGTCTTTAGTAGAAAATTCCAATCCACTCTATCAAAGGCCTTCTCCGCATCCAAAAAGACCAGCACTGCAGAAATCTGTTTATTCTTATCAAGATATTCCAATAAGTCTATTACTTGCCTTACATTGTCCTTCATGTATCTACCCTCAATAAATCCCGCTTGGTCCTCATGAATCACCTTTTGGATTACTGGCATCAACCTGTTGGCTAATACCTTCGCGTAAATTTTATAGTCTGTATTCAAAAGAGATATTGGTCTGTAGTTCTCTGGTTTTTTAGGACCAACTTGTTCTTTTGGTATCAAAGATATATAAGCAGTTGTCCAGGATGGGGGTATTTTACCCCCTTGTTGAATATTGCAAAATAAATCTCTAAGTTGTCCCACCATTTCAGCTTGTAAAGTTTTATAGTACACTGCAGTCAAACCATCCGTGCCAGGAGCTTTGGCTGTTTTTAGCTGTTTAATTGCTGCTGTTATCTCCTCCTCTGTTATAGGATAATTCATTCTTTCCTTTTGTTGATCAGTAATTTTTGTAACTCTCTTATCCTTTAAATATTTTTCTATAAGTCCATTCTGCACCTCATCTTTGGCATATAGTTTAGTGTAATAATCCACAAAAGCTTCTTTAATTAGTTTTTGTTGAAAGATTTCTTTCCCTCCAATATCAATACTATCAATAGTCCGTATACTTTGTTTTTTCCTCAATGTGTAAGCCAACCATCTGCCCGGTTTATTAGCATTGCAAAATGTATTATGCTTCGCGTATTGTAAACTTGTTGCAACTTGTTCCGCCATAAGCATTTGGAATTGATCTTTCAAAAGTTTTATAGCACTTCGTATTCTTTCATCTGTTGGGTTTTTAATAAGTAACTGTTCTTTGTTCTTTATTTCCATTTCCAACTCAGATCTTTTCTTTTGTCGGAACAGTCTATGTTTAGAATTCATGTAGATAAGTACCCCTCTCATATAAGCTTTACTTGCATCCCAAACAATTTCAACTGGGGTACCTTTATTCAAATTTATTTCAAAAAATTCTTTCAAATGCTTTTTAAGTTCTATTATATTTTTTTCATATCTAAACAGGTTCTCATTTAATCTCCAAGAACGTCTCTCAACCTTATCCATCTCGATTTCTATCCATACAGGACTATGATCAGTCAAAATTCTTGGAAAAATCTTTGTTCTTTTTGTCTTAACAAGTAGATCATTTGACAACAAGATAAAATCAATCCTAGAAAAAGATCTATGTCTATCAGAAAAAAAAGTGTAATCCAATTCATTTGGGTTATGTATTCTCCAAACATCTTTTAGTTCCATATCTTCTTTCATATCAAAAAAGGTCTGTGGTAATCTAATTCTAGACTTTGCCAAGCTCTTTTTATCTAATTTAGAATCAATTACTCCATTCCAATCTCCCATAATTAAAATAGATCTGTAGTCCCATTGCAATATTTTAGTATGTAACATCTTGTAAAAATAATCCTGTTGTTGGTTGGGAGCATAAATTCCAATCAAAAGAATTTGTCCATTTGCTGTAAACAATTCAATTGCTACAAATCTACCATCTTGATCTACTTCTATAACTTTTGCTGTTAATTTTTTATTTACATAAATAACCACACCATTCTTTTTCTGCGAAGTTGAAGATATATAATGTGCTCCTAGTTTTGAGTTTATCAAATATTTTTGATCTTGAGTTGTAATGTGCGTTTCTTGTAAACATATTATATCATTATTAAATTGTTTCAAATATGTAAATAATTTTTTCCTTTTCTGTGCTGAATTCAACCCATTGACATTCCAAGATAAACACTTAAAGGTCATTGACCTCTTCATGGAGCGCGGAGCAATATGCTTGAAGTTCATCCACAAGCTTCGATCTCGCTCCTCCCATAGCGCCAATCTCTTGTGCAGTGCTCTTAACTGCCTTCTTGTCTTGTCTTTCCTGTTGTTGTTGTTGCTTCTGTTTAAGTAGCTTGGATTGAGCTCTAGTTATACGTTGATCTTTAACTTCAGTCAACTGAATCAAATCCAAAATTGGAGAAGAATCCAGCGATGGCTCACTCAGAATACCTCCTTCTGCACCTTGCACGTTTTCTAATTCCTGCTTAGACTGTTCTTTCAATTGCCTCTCTTCACTCTCCTTAATCTCCAGAACTGTAGATGTACGTGGAG